CTAAATAATTATCGTGAGAATGACTGTATTGACTTTACATACACGTTCACTTCGTCAACCAAATGGGGAGATCTTCCGCTTTTCCCTTAAAACATTGCCTTTTATTTTGTCTACTTAATCTTTTATTATTTAGTAAGTCTTGAACTGAGGATATTTGCAATTCAATAAATACCGTTCTTGCTTTTGTGAAACACACATTTTAATCAAATTTGTTAAATAAATTCAATTAATGTTAATGAAAATGATTACGGTTATTATTTTTTAGGCAGTTGCCTAAGTATTAAATGAATCTAGAATATTCCAAATGTACTTGAAATTAATAAATGGTAACGGAAGAGTGTTCCAAAAAGTATGCCAATGACACGGATGTATCCAAATCTATATATTACACGTGTAAATTCATTTCCGAATATTATTTCTAAGCGTTGTATAAATAATTCATAAAAGTTGGCATTAAAATATTGTTTATTTCAATAAATTCCCTTTCTCCTGCATTATAAACAATACTGTGCAATCTATTTGCACTTTCTTAGTATAGGTTCCTACTCTGCGATGACTATGTATATACTCGTGTCCCAAGAATAAGAAATGACTCGTTTATGTATCGCAACTCGGCGCAAGAACGCGTTCACTCAAGCAGAAGTCAGAGGAAGCTTAAATCTATCGGCTTAAGTGCCGTGATAAGTCCTCGATCGGAGTCCGTATGTCAAATCAGAGTCGCAGCTCGATCGTGGACCTCGCGAGCTAGACGCATGCCAATGTAAAGCTTTCGCGGAAACAGTTAGCTTCCAGCTGGGTAGAATTCATCGAACGATTCGACGATGGTGAACGCCATAGACCAGACGTCACCCGGAACATCTCCGAGATTACGGTAACAACGTGCTCGCTGAAGACAATGTCTATCCTCTGATCCCATTCCTTGCGAGTCTCGTAGAGGATCTTAGATAAATTCGTCTTGGATCAAATGTAAGTGCCGGTTATTTCGTAATAACTTGGAAAATTAGTGAAGATCTTCGTTAGAAAATTTAGAATATTAAATCTTAGATAAAGTTTACATGCTGATCATTTCGTAATTTTGAAAATTGGTAAAGTATTCGATAAAAAATATTGAAATGTTAGGTCTTAAACTTAGTGAAGATCCTCATTAGAAATCTCAAAACAGCAGATCTTGGATAAAGTGTAAAATATCAATCATTTTCTAACTTTGAAAATTAGTAAAGAGTTTCGACTGGAATTTCGAAATAATAGATTTTATTTTCAGGTAATCTGTAAATACTGATCATTTTGTAGATTCGAAGATTGGTAAACATCTTTGATGAAAATTTCAAAATACTATTCTTTCTACTCTAAAAAACTATATATACCTAAATAGTTAAATAAATAGTTAAAACAAATTAAGTTTTTTAAAATATTTCTGTGGAACCACTTTAATTGTGATTCATACTTTATTAAAATTCTCTGATTAGTATTAAATTGTGAAAGTAATCATCGACTCTACGTCAAAATTTCACGAAAGGGAAAGATCCACATAAAAATCTCCATTCGGACCAATTGTAAACAGTGCAAACATGATTAAAAAAGAATACTAAAGATTCGTAAATAAATAAAAAGAACATTAAAAAAGAATTGAATGTGTATAAAGAAGAATGACTCTTCAATTCTGTCAATATACAAGAAATCAATGAAAACATTCAAAGATTGGATGAAGCTTTCAGGAACAGTGATAGACAAATTATCAATGTGCTATAGCTTGGCAATCCCGAGTAACACTGATTCGGTGAAAAATATGAAAGATGCTACGTGGGCTATGTATCATCGTTATCGTGAAACGAATACAGATCCTCCATACGACAAATGTTGCAGAGACCTCGATTTCTGGCGTGCTTGCCAAATAACGAAGCAAAAGATATCGTAGTCGAATACAAACACGACTATAATGCACTTCCTCCAAACGTTTTTAATACAATTACTATTATATATGAAGACTTATACCTTAAGAAGATTAAATTTCGAGTCCAACTAACTTATCTATGCACACAACCATTTATTTCTGACTTTCTCTGAAGAGTAATATTCGTTGCTATTCATACCATAAGCAGCAAAGGCTATTCGAAAAATAAAAATGTAGAAATAAACATAACTGAATTTTTCATGTTACTTATTACTCTGTAGAAATACGTATATCAGAATGACGAATACACAAAAATATAATTAAATTACTGATGTCTCTATAAGATGAACGTCAATTTTTTTTAATTTCATTAATATTATTAATTTTTGATATTGAAATCATATTAATTCTACCTATTATTAATATTTTATATGACTGTACATATTCGAACATAATTAATAATGTAGAATAAATGGGTTGTTGTATTTCCAAATTTTTATCTTATGAATACTTCTGTTTTCCGTTGTTCAGAATGCAGTTTACATTTTTTCGAATAATGCAAAGAATCAATACTAATTTATCGATACCATTCTTTTTATTATTATTTATATAATGACTTTTATAGAAGTAATACGAATGGATGTATTAATTCTTACTTTAAAATAAAATATTATTATGTGTAAAAGCAATAAAATATAAATCATTCATTAAATTTCAATAAGCCATCACTAGAAGATATTTCACATCTATTTCAACAAAATAACCTCCCTTCTTGTTAATAAAGATTTTTAATTACGAAAGAAATCTTATTACCTAAGAAGGAAACGGAGTATTAAAATCTTTATGATGCAATAACATAATTTCGAACAAAAAATCTCACAATTTCTAAATCTGGTCGAGATTTAAATGAATTGCAAAGAAAACAATGCAACATTTGCTTCCTGAAGTAACAGAATAGTCAAAACAATACAATATGTAGTAAAACAAACCTCAAACAAACCTACTAAAGACAGGAAATAGTGAATTCTTTTCTATTTTATCTTTTTTATAAACATTAAATACTAAAAGTGATCCCAAACTTTAGAACGGTAGGGTATATACGCACACACAACGATGCGTAATCACGAGGCGTAGCAGACATGTTAAATGGCGATCAAATCGCGTAAATGCGATGACAACCGATGGGATTAAGTCCAATGTGTATCCGTGAATAGCAATCCATTTAATACGATGGATTTGTTTCGTCAAACTCGATTAACCCTTTGCCCCATGATTTATTTCTCAACTACCATCGATATAATTATGTAAGTACTTTGTCATTAATAATTTATTGAAATAAGAGAAAAATTCTAGACATATTCCATACTTATATTTGATCCAAAGTATAATAATTGATAACAGAATAATAATATTTAATTCGAATTCAAAAGAATTGAGTAATATTTATGCTTGTTTAAGTCTGTTCAATGTCTTTACCATGAGTTTAACACGTTATTATAAGGCAAAAGGTTAATATTTGTATAAACGATTGGCTCACGCTTGCACCTTTCTACTAAATGTTTAATTTCATTCAACTTATTACTTAGTTCTAACAAGTACTCCGAATGCGATGATCTTCTTTTATAGGGTGTATTTAGACGTTGACTCATTTGGTTACATGATTCTTTGAATAAACAACTATGTAAAGGATAGGAAAGCTGAAATATTTTGTATATATTAGAATTTGAGAGAAGATTGTTTAAATTACTCAAATCTAGAAAGGTCAAATTAGTAACAAAGAAGTTGGACAAATTTTGAAGACTAAAAATAAGCAAATGTTTTATACGATTCAATGAACATTTCTATTTAGTTATGTATTTTGTTCAAATGAAACGCTGATTCTCCATTATTTGAATTTTGGTAATTCCGTTAACTTCAATGTAAAACCTGAAATTTCGTACGTAATTTACTTAGATAAACGGGACAAATTCAATAACCCAAAAGTGATTGAAAATTGTCAAAGAATACATTTTTGATTTAGTAGGATTTTAAAGAACAGTGAATTCTTGTTTAAATACGTTATTATCAAAAAAGTAGATTTTATCGACAGAAGTAAAAGGCACTTAACAATTTGTTTCGAAACACAAGTAACATTTAACGAATATAATACGCGCTGAACGTAAAACGTAGGATTGATAAATAACAATGGTCGTAACACCTGTCCATGAAATATTAACTCGCAGGAGCTAGCAAAGATAAATTAACAACAGCTGTAGTTCAACAAGGAAAACAACTCGTTGCAAACATGTGCTACAATCGAAATACAGGTTCAGCATACTCTCCCTTCCCTCCGATAAAACCAAAACGATTAAATATTAATTGAAATTTTAAACATCTGTGACTAAAAATTAGATAAACGATATGTTACAATAAAAGAATTATTAATCATTATTTACTTTCTTACACAATTCAATTTTCATAACGCCATAATTAGCACGATTCATTTAATACATTCGCTTCATCTTTATACACAGATGCTTGAACATCTGCTCTTCGTTTATTGCCAAATGTCATTCACTTTCAGCTACAATTATTATTTTTCAATTATAATTATAACTCCCTTATCCTCATAATATCTCGTCACAAGTATTTCAAATAGGAACTGATACATATTAATATTACTTATTTTTTTTCATTCTTCTATCATCAATCCTTAACTGTTAGATGTAACGTAGACCAACAACGAACACAGATTTCCATTATCCTTTTGCCAAATTATTAAACACAAAACATCCTCCACCAACGCGACTTCAAAAGAACTCCTCAACCAATCTTTAAACCATGCTCAACAAACAAAACAAGTCTCAACGCCACTGACCCTATCCACAAATCCCCAATCAAAGCCTCCAAACGCTCTAACCCACAATCGCGACACCTGCCAAAAGACACCTCGTTTGCACCCTCCCCGTCACTGACTCTAAAACCAACGAGCACCAAAATCTGAAGAAAACTCTCTGACCGCAAGGGATATACATGGAACGAAACCGAAAGAAAGACATCGAACAGAATGATCAAGAACGGTCAAGAAGAAAACGGTCCACGGGGAAACAGAACGGAATAATTGACTTACTGTGCGCGGTAAAGGTCATGATGACGTCGCTCTGGTCGATGGCCCTGAGATCCTGGCCGGTGAGGTCGAATTCGCCGGCCCTACGTTGCTGCTCGCCGATCGGTTTCTCGTCCTCGTCCTCGCCGAGCGCGTTCTTGTATATGTCCAGGAGGAACTTGGGCGCCGACCTCTTGACCTGCGGCGGCCTGCCGGCGGTGCTTCTCGGCCTGTCCGGCAGCCCAAGAAGGTTGAGTATCTCGTGCTCGACCTCGCGCTTCTCCCTCTGGCTGACCACCCTGTGGACGACCGTCTGGTCGAATCCGTTGTCGACGTAGAGGCCGCTCATCCTGTCCGCGGCGGCGGTGCTCGTCAGCCCGGCGAGGATCGTGCCGAGGATCAGAAGGGGCGCGAGACGGCGCGGCGACATCTCGCCGGCGCGTCTTTCCGCCGGTGGCCGACACGGCCCGGAAGCCACCATTCTACCTCGCGCCGCTTCCACCACCACCTCCACCAACACCACCTTCCCCTACGCCACCGCCTCCTCCTCCTCCTACGTCGGGGCTCGCACGACGACGACGTCGTCGTCGTCGTCGTCGTTCCCTACCGAGCCACCAACGTGGACGCCGAGCGGGTCCGCCGACCCGGCGATCGAGCCGCGGTTCCGACGCGACGGATCGATCTCGATCACCCTTCTAACTAAACGGATCACCACTCTCACACCGAAGTTCCCTTTTATTCGACCTTTCAGAAGCTTTAATGTCTTTCTGTTTAGATCCCGCACTTCACCCGGGAATAATTCTCCTCTTTAATCACACTAGGCTCTAAACTCTTAACGTTCGCGGATCGTCTATCCGTTCGATCGCTTTTTCCCTGTTTAGTTTCTCCACGGTGTCCGTGCACCGGTCACCTTCGACCTTTCTTTTTCCGCGTGACGATCGGAACCCGTTCACGGGCACATTCTTTAGGCGACGACGATGGAATTCCTCTCTCCACCTGCGCTGGCTCGTTCACCAGGTGTTGCCGATCCGATCTCACGATCCCGAACGGTTCGGGCACATTGCGCGCACCTCGCTCGACGAGCGATTTAAAAGCGATCCACGCCGCGCACGTTCACCAACCGCGCACGGGTGACTCTCGAGACCGTCTCGGCGAGTACCGGTGACCACTGCCGCCGACTCCCGTGATGCCAGTGCCAGTCTGTTTGTCTGGCCCGTGCCGTGCACCTCCTCGTCGCCGCTGCTCCTCCGCGAGGCCTCACCACCGCCTCCCAGGGCCGTACCGCTCCTCCGGCAGAGCCACGCCTCGGTGTTCGCCTTCCTTCGAGGTTTACCTTATGATCTCGCGTTCCCTCGTCTCGCCTCGCCTCACCGCGCCACGGTAGATCGTCTCGCCTTACCTCGCCGCGTCTCGCCCCTCAACGACCAGCCGCTTCGCCTCGCCACGCCGGTAGCCACGCGCACTTGCATACTCCGATCGGATTCTATGTTTTCTTCTTCTTATCCCGGCCGCCTTCCCTGCTCTTCCTCTCGTTACACACGCAACCCTTCTTCCGTCACACCGCGCTCCCTCGTTTCAATCTTTCGGGAAATTTGTCCTTGGCTGCTGCCCGCGAGAGGATCGGAGATGGGGACTATGCTCGCAGTGGATGTTGACTTTTCAGTTTTCTTTAGAATAGGTGTTAACACTTAATTTTAGTGATGATCATTCGAATTGAATTCGACTGATCTAAATGTTATTTGTTTATTTTCTGTGTGAATGGAATGATACTTGGCTATTGGAGATCTTTTTAGAGTAAACTTGGGCGGAGGATAAGCATCGAGTTCTTTTATTTTTCTGCTAAATTGTCAATGATGAAGTATTTTTGTTAGACACTATTGTGGGAGAAACTGTGGAATAAGGGGTTAACGTATAATGCGAACTTGTTAATATGACGATATCTCGTGTTTTGAGTTCGGATCTAACAGATACAGTTTTCTGAGTGACGTGTGTTTTGGAGATGTCATTTTGTAACGTTTGTTGATATTGAATGTTGAAGGCGAGTATGATCTCTGATTTTATGCCAATTATAAGGTGGTTGAGAATGATTGAATCAGAAAAAATGTATTATTATTGGCCGTGGATGCCAACTTTTAATCTACAGTGTATTAAAGAAATTCAATTAAAGGATTGAGGGAAATGAGTTCAAGGAAATTATTGTTAACAATATTAAGTTTTAATTAAGGAGAACGTGTTTGATTGGGGACAAGTCTCTCGTTGAAATTAAGATCTGGTACTTGGTGGCTGAGGAAAATTTTCTTTCGTCGAAGATTATTGAATTACTAATTTTTTAACCAATTGTATCATTAATTTTTTAGCATCGTTACATTTGATTAGTCTTCTTTTATTTTACGATGTTCTTACTTTTTTAAAGATACTTTTGAATTTGTAAGAAGCACATGAAAATCGTTAATTGAGACATCTGATATTTCAATTTCGGAAAAATGTACTCTATCGAAGTAAACGTCAAGACTAAATCAATTTATTGCTTCGACTGTGAGAAGATTGAACAAACGTATGTATTATATCGGTAAAGGGGAAAGTATCATTCGACCGTTTAACGATTGCCGTGATAATATACAAGGTGATTCTGAAAAATTGCTGCAAATATTTTTTAAGCGACAATCGAAAAGCGCGAACGCTAATTTGTTCTCACAGATATCATTTTTCCAAACATGTATTATTTCGAGAATATGTAAAGAATATTTAAAGTAATTTATATAAAATTAAAGCAAATCGAATTTTTTTCGATGCTGGTATCAAGAATTAACGAAATTAATTAAATGTACCTTTTAAAGGGATACGTACCTTAAAATAGAATTTCTTCAAATAAAACGATCAGGTTATTTAAAATTTGTCCAGTTTCCTTATTAATTATGTTAAACCATTGTATTGAATCGGAAACGGTTCCCAACATAGCTAAATAATGAAAGAATTTCTAAATATATTCAAAATGCTATACTTAATAAAAAATTGAAAACTTAACACTAAATAAAGAAATAACAAAATTGGTTTCACTCTCATACGTCGGAAACCTTTCTCTAATGTTTAAAAACATAAATAACAAAATTGGTTTTATTCTCGCTCATCAAACATCTTACTCCAATATTCAAAGTCTCCCCACAAATTCAGAATAAAACATTTTCGTAATATATAGTCGAAATCTCAGAAAACTGCCAAAAGATTTCAATGAAAATTTCTATTTCTCGGAGCACAGTGTATATCCGATCAGCGTTCCGTGAAGAAAACAATATTATTGGCCACGACAGAGGGCCGTGATAAAGAGAGCCGCGAAAATGAAGGATAGCTCGTGTTCAGAGTGAAACGGTACGCTCACGATTAGATTGTTCAACAAGTGTGCAACGTGTTGCGTATATACGCTGCTTGTACGGCTGTTGCGGCATTCACGGAATGTTGCATGTAACACTGCGTGTTTGCAAGGTTCCGAAGAAGTTCGCGAACGTGTATTACAATGTAACGCCTTACGTAATAGAAAGCACGCGGCATGTCGTTTTGTGTCGTGTCGTTCGGATACGGGAACGGCTGGAACTCGGGACTCAATTTACATCGTTGCATTAATCCGCCCCGTGAAAACTGCGCAGAAATCGTTTCCAACCGGCGAAACACATCGCGCTTGCAAATTTCGTTTATTTTCCTTGGAATCGCTTGCTGGACGTTTACGCGTGGATCGATTACTAAAACGTTTTCAATCGAAAACGACGCCATTCACCTAGACAGCTGTTAGGGTTCAAAATATTACTGTGTTACGTAGTGTTTATAAAATGGCAAATAACAATGAAATAAATTGTTCTGTTATTCTTTAAAATAGCTGGGATGAAGGATCGTCTACGATTGAGTAAGATATTGGTAAAATAATACGATAAGATTAACACGTTGAATGTCATGGAGGATGCCAGTGACCCCGAATTGAATTACTATAGTTCACTGAAATAAGCAATGATTATTTAAAAATATTTCTATATTATAAATAATGCTATCGAATGAGGTGAAATTCGGCTTGATGAACGTGCAATATTAATAATTTCACTCAATCAGATGATTTAATATTATATTTCTGCTATTTCATGTATTTTGCTCTATGAAATTGCGCGGCATTCAACGTGTTAATGTTGTAACAGTTTCTTAACGCTAGAACTACTGCACCCGTCAGAATGACCGGCTTCAGTTTTCTAATGTCGCAATTATTAATACCTTAAAGGTGTTAAATATCCTAAATGATTTTAAGAATAAACAGTTTCACTTAAATATTGTATAATAAATACACGAAGTAATTGAAAAAAAATCTATTGTTACAATTTTTATAAAGATTACATATTAAACACATTAAACGCTCGATAGTCCTAGCGTTAATATATTGCTACATCTTATTTTGTATTCATTGGGGATTAGGATTTATACAATTGCTGCATCATGTTGTCATTAATGTTGTCCATTATTAAATTATCTTTTGTTGTAATAAAACTTTCTTTATACAAAAATCTAATTATTCGAATGTTTTATCATATATAAATTGTACTTATATGCAAACCGTGTTTGTAAATCCACAGTTGGATCCACAATTTCACAGGCATCTGTTTAATTAAAATATCTCGGTAATTAAGACACAAGTTGTTCAGTTATTTAATCAAAACGGAGTTTTAACTGTTTATTCAAAATCATTTTTATTATACAATTTAATTTTTTATAGAAATACAATTGTTCAAGTATTCGCTTATTCGCACACATATGTATTTCTACTGTTTAATATATGTGAATGAACAATTTAATAAAGAATTTTGTTGTTCATTTTATCATCCCTAATTTGTGACTTAATTTTACTGTCAGAAAAGTTCTAAAATTTTGTTTTTTTTTCATATTTTCATTAATAAATAAATAAATGGGCAATGAAAGAAAAACAAAAGTAAATAAGAAAATGCTTTCACCACAATAAACAAATTTCTTCGCTCCTCTCAAACTTTAACTTTTGGAAATGTAACAACTATGTAAAATATAATATTCCACACGAAAATTATTCAAACGGATTCATTCAAAAAGACAGAATCATTCGAATGGAACGTTCGTTATTCCTTTTTGCTTTTCCTCATCTATTTTTACGATCAGAGTGGACAGCAATAAAATCTCAAAGGGAAACTTTCTATTCGTATGCAGAAAAGCAAGTTATAGCACTTTGTAAGATGGACGTAAACGATCGATCGATGGCTCATAAAAATATTCAAAAATTCATTACGAACTTCAGTACACACCTAAAACACGAAAATATTCAGACAAAATAATTTCTGAATAATAAAAGAATCATTTCTTTGATACTGACTGTAATTTGCCTGAATAGAAATCGCGAAGAGAGTTTGTTCAAATATTTATGAATCCCATACCTTTATAGCTACTAAATCATAAAAATTTTTCGGCATTAGTAACCACGTTCAATTTCGTATTAAACCATTGCCATTAGAATTACATTCAAAGAATTATATATTACTAGTAAACACTTCGTTCGTATAATATAACATCCACAATAGAACGTATAAATGTCAAACTTTTTGTGTACAAAATATCTACAGTACTTTAGTGCTTATTACAGAACAAATTTCATGTATTTATACCGAATCTAACAAAATAAAAATGTAATAAATCATAAAACTTTATTTTCATCGTTCAATTTATTATATTTATATTATATTTATACATTATTACTTATTATTATTTATTATATTTATATTATATTTATTCATTATTACTTATTATTATTTATTATATTTATATTATATTTATACAATATTACATATTATTTATAACATTTACATCATATTTACATATTACTACACATTATTATTTATTATATATTATTTCACCCACAATTTCCATTTCCAAAACTTATTCCTCAAAAACACTATTCACCAAAAACATCCATACTTTTACAAACTACAAAAAGAAGTCAGAAATTTTCATGGGACCTAATGATCTCTCTCCTCCAACAGCGCAAGATAACGACAAAAGAATTGAGATCAGTAGCAAGAAGCAATTCCGAAGAATGTTTCCACCGGTCCGTCCACTGAATTTTCGAAGGCATTTGCACGCCCCTGGGTCATAGAGATAGGACCGCCCCTGCTGAAGAAGTAGGCGGCGTTCACCAGCCCTGATCGTTGGTGTTACTCGGCACTCTCAACGTGGTGCCGGGAGATCAGGGTTAACGAAGAAACACTGTGCGATGGCGGCCGACCGAACCTGGAAATTCTTCCACTTT